GCTATTTTTTATTTATTTATTTACTAATACTGATATTTATTTACTTAATTATTTTCTTTATGGGGGCGAGGGGAAAAAGATTTGAGTGGGGTGCAATATTTTGGTTTTAGACTTTTCTAGAAAAAAAAAGACAAAACTGTTTCAGGGCCTGTTTCTGTCAGACTCTTGCAATCGAGTAATTATAATGTATCTAATAATTATTACAGCTATTATATTTATTTCTTATTTATTGAATCTTGTTTTGATCCACTCTCTTTTTAAGTTTGAATAAAAAGTGTCATACTAAATGTTCTGATGTCGTTCATTAAGTCTCTGTGTTTGTTTGTGGTGAATTAATGGGAAATTATTCAGTTATTTAATTTTATTTTGCACCTTTTGAAGTTAAAAACCACACAATGTCATTTAAGAATCACACAAATTATCAGAGTTTTACCCAAATGCTATTTTAAAACATAAATTTTTGCCTTTTCTTTAATAAACCCATTGGTTTAATCATATTTATTAAAAAAGTGCACATCAAGCTTTTAACCAGAAGGTGGTGGAAGTGGCCCACACACAAAACAACAGTTAAAAGAATCTTTTTATCCACACTTACAGGAGACAAGTTTTATTTAGCAGCTAAATAAAATGCCGTATTTTTGTTTAATATTCATGTTTCTGTTTATTATTCCTCCTCTGGGACAACAGTTTGTTTTTTTTCCTGCATCTGAGTTTATTTTACCACCAGATAAACATCCTAAAATCTGGATGTGTGCGGACCAGTTACAAGTAGAAAATACAGTCATTAACAAGCACACAACTGGAACTTTTTTAATTTCCCTGCAACATAAACAGGCTGTTTACGGATGGCAGGAAATGTTAAAAGTTTGTACGATGTGTCATAAACAAGTCATTGTGTACTCTGTCACCCTGTAAACCCTCACGTGTTTGACTTTTGCATCATGGGGTCACAAAGAAATAGATGGAGAATGTCAAGTAGAAATAATCTGCAGTAACAACCAGTAGGAACAGTTTTGTTTGGGTGGAGTGATCAAATAGGTATTCAAATTTAACCTCACATTGGCAAAAAAAAACATTATTGTTAAAACGAAAACAAAACCAAAATGTTTACTCTTTTTCTAATTCTGCTCTCATGAATTTTAACTTTTAACATGTTAAGTGAAGCATGTAAATTCTGAGATGTAGCTCTAATTGTTACTTTTCATGTCCCTGAGGACTACATGGTCTGACATTTGGGTGAGTCTGCTGAGATATGCTACCCCTAGTAAGATGAGCAGCTGTGTAGTATTTAGTTTTTATGTATAAAAGTTGAAAACTGAGAATGATAAACATGTATAAATCTAAAGTGACCCAGTATATTTTTTTCATCCCATTTCAAAAACTTAAATCCATATTTCAAAGAGAAAATATATCCAGAATTGAGTATTTAAATAGTTTTTTTATTTGAAAGCTTTTTAGATGGAGATAAGTCTCACATGAGAATGTAAAATAGTGACATACATGTTACTCATAAAGGTACATGCCGGGTATTTATTAGGGTATATAAAGAGTACTTACAGGGTAATGACAAGGGACACACAGGGCTATATCAAAGGTACTTATAGGATACTTAAGTATATACAGGGACAGTGTACTTATTGGGGTATATAAAAGATACCGGGTAATTACAAGGTACTTCCAGGGTAAGACAACAAGGTTTGCAGGGTTCTTAGTAGGTACTTACTGGGTACTTAGACACATACATGGTACTTACTGAGGTGTGTACAGAATACAGGATAATTACAAGGTACACACGGCTACATACAAGGGACTTAGAGGGTACCTACAGGGTACTTACAAAAAGTACATACAGGGTACTTACTGGGGTTTATAAAGGATACTTAATTAAAATATACTTACAGGATAACACCACAAGGTTTACAGAGTTTTTAGCAGGTACAATGGGTACTTAGACACATACAGGGTACTTACTGAGGTGTGTACAGGATACCTACAAGTTACAGGGCTACATACAAGGTACTTACAGGGTAATCTCATATGGTTTGCATGTTCTTACTGGGTACCAACAGGTTACTAAATTTATTTTTGGGGGTATAAAAAGGATACTTACAGGGTAAGATCACAAGGTTTACTGGGTTAATAGGTAGTACATGCAGGGATCTTGCAGGGAAATTACAGGATATGTAAAGCATTTACAAGTAAAGTGAGCGGTACTTACAGGGTACTTACGAGGATACATACAAGGTATTTACAGGGTACTAAAAGGTTACATTTGGGGTTTTGGCAGGGTACTTATAGGAGTACTTATATGGTCATTCCAGGGCAATTATAAAGGTAGGGTTCTTACTGGGGTAGCTAAAGGGCAATTACAGAGTATTTACAGGGTACATATAAAGGTACTTGTACTTTATGCTGTGCTCAGGTATGGCTTCTTGTCTAGAACAACCCCTGGTTCTAGCAAAAACAGAATTACTGACAATATTGTAACATTGCATAAATAAATTAGGGTTTAATTTGAAAACAATGACACAAAGTTTAAAACCTCTCGAACTCAAGCCAAGAAACAAAAAGAAAACGCGCATGTGTGTGTGTCAGCTAAACGCGTCTCTCGCGTGCTCGTACGTCATCTGCGCCCCTCCCCCTCCGTTATCCCCTGACTCCTCCTCCTCCTGTTGTTGGCTGAGCTCCACACGGTCCGTTCTCCAGCCGGCCCGACCCGCACCGTTGTCCGGTTCGTACGCCCACACGGACCCCCGGAATACCGAAAGAAGGGGGCCAAATTAACCAGAGAAGACCGGAAACGGCCTGAAACAAACCGGCTAACGCATCGTCCCGCTCGCTCCTGGCTCTCAGAGGGAAACTTCACCACACTTCATCGAAATGTCTGAAAATGTGTCGGGATTTGGACAAATAGCGGCGTCTTTCTGAGCTCAAGCAGCGGACTGGACGCACGCACACAACGGGACCATTAGTTGTGGAAGAAGGCCAAGAGGAACCACATCGACGAAGAACGCGTTAGCTGTGTACGTCGGTTAAAAAAAGCTACATTTTACCCTCTGAACGAGAAAACCAAAGTAAGTACCGTCTGCTTCACTTTCACGACGTTTGTTGGGCGCGTGAGTGTTTGCAGCAGCAGACGCATGCTTTGCTAGTTCTTACGTCATTACGCATTCATGCAGGAATCCGTTACTTCGATTAAAGAAAGGGTCCGATTTTTTTTTTGTACTTTGAGCGGATAAACCAAACTGTTTACCGAGTAATAAACCGTTAATAAACGAGGTAATTAGCTTGAAAACCGTGTTTTAACGGAGAGGGACATGAAGGCAGCCTCAACCCGGCGCGTGGTTGAATCTTTGCTAACAAAGTTTCAAAACTAGCAGGTAAGGCTACGTTTATGGCTTTATGATCACAGCTGTACGGATCGATAAAAGAGGTTTTTCTGTTACACAGAAGTGAAGAACCGTGTTTTATTTAAACATGTTGGTTTAAACTTATGTTGGGACTCCTCTTCCTTCGCCATTGTTTCCATGAGCTGTCCACAGTAGCCACATTAAGCTAATCTGTGCAATGAAGAAAAACAACAAAATATGACCGGTTTAATAAAAACGAATCAGCCAAAAGGTCATTCACGAGTTGTTGGTATTTATGACTCATCTCGTGTAAACCAGGATTAAGTCTAAAGGTGATATATGGACAAATAGGGAAAAAGTGTTTTGCTTAAAACCTTTGCAAAAATTGTATTTTGTAATAAATATCAATGTATCTTTTGAATGAACTGTCTGAAATATGTGAGCCATCACATCAAAACCAGGATCAAGTCCAAAAGTTGTACATGGAGAAATAGACAAAGTGTTTTGACTAAAATGTTAACAAAAATTGCATTTTGTCAAAATATAATGAATAAATTAATGTATCATTTGAATGAACTGTCTCAAATATAACCATAAAACAAAAGTTTGAAGCACTTTTTGGAGCAGTAGCAACAAAAAAACCTGATTTTGAGGAAAAACACCTTAAAAATTTGAGATTTTCCCTGTGAGCTAGCAAAGCTGTGTTTCTTTTTAGCTGGTAAATCTCAATATTCAAATATAATTTGAGGTTTCCTCTTTAAAAGGGCATCAACAAAAATCCTCATTAAAATGACATAAAATTAGGATTCAGACCAAATATTTTTGTATTATTGTAACCAACAAGACAAATTAAGTCATATATATGGATTTAATTATGATATCAGAATGATCCAGGTGTTAAAATGTAGCTTTTAAAGCAGGAATCTGAAAATGTAATTAGGTCATTTTGACCAAATTTGACCTAGTCCTTATTTTAATATGATGGGTCTAGGGCTGCCACAAACGATTATTTTTATAATCGATTAATCACCGATTATTTTTTCGATTAGTCGACTAATCGGATCATACGTTAATTGAATATAAAATATATAATGTATATATATAAAAGAGTTTATCGCGCCAGAATGCAGCTGTTATTATATAACCATGGTTAGATTTTAGCTATATGCTAACTAAAAAAAATAGCTGTGGAAGGTAAGTTCTGCTCTGCAGATATTACACAGGTTTCTCTTTCATTTTCTTAAAATGATCCCACACTTTGAGCTCTGTTGTCAGGTAGCCATGATACCAGAGCCTGTCTGTATAATGTCTTGTGACGTCCACGGCCTACCCCAGTTACCACTACTGTGCATGTGGGTCAAGGACAGAAAGGCAGACGTGGCAGTGGAAGGTGTCAAAGCAGTTTGGAGAGAAAAACAAAGTAAAGAAAAAAAAAAGAGGAAACGATTAATCGATTATTTTAATAATCGATTAGTCGTCGATTAATCGACTAATCGTGGCAGCCTTAGATGGGTCACATATAATCATAAAACAAAACTCTGACTTTTTGGAGCAGTAGCAACAAAAAAACCTGATTTTGAGCAAAAACGCCTTCAAATTTTTCGATTTTACCTGTAAGCTAGAAATATTTGTTTCTTTCCAGCTGGAAAATGGTTTGGTTTGGTTACTTTATTTATACCAAAAGGTAAATTTGTATTGCAGTGGTATTACGTATCATGCACACACACAATTATAAGAAATTATATTTTTATTTATTTATTTTTAAAATTTATTTAACCTTTAGTTAACCAGGTAGCTCTCATTGAGATTAAAAATCTCTTTTTCAAAAGAGACCTGGCCAAGACCGCCAGCAGCACACAGACATTACAAAATTCAAAACTACAGATATTAAACTACAATCAAATACTTCACGATAAATAAAACAAAAACAAGAAACACGTATAAAAAGTAAGATAGGACTAAAATAGAGTACAAAATCAGTTAAAACATTTACAAACAAATGTCTTAAGTACAAACTGATTAAGAGTGGCCCTAAAAACATTAAAAGAGACCAACTCCAACAATTATAAGAAATGAAACGCATTAGAAAAAAGAACCGTTCACATAGTGCTTGAGGCTCCACATATCAAAATAAAAACAAAACAGGACTAAAAAATGGAAAATAAAACTAAAAATAGACTTCATATAAATAAGTTGAAAGAAAACCCACATCAGATCAAATCCAATATTGAACCACTGAGAACATCTGTCGCTTCACTTTGTTCATTTCAGTAACAGCAGTGGGAACAAAGCTGTTTTTAAAATGTCTTGTCCTACATTTAGGGACCATAAACCTCCAGCCTGAGGGAAGAAGCTGGAACTCCTGGTAAAGGGGATGGAAATCCTCTTTTAGAACAGAAAATGCTATCCGCTGTACCTGGCTGATGTACTGGGATGCAACTGATTGTTGGGTCTCTCCAATCAGTTTAGACGATAACTTAACAATCTGCTGTATTTTCTCTCAGTGGAACCTGACCGAACCATGACACCAGGGAAAAGACACCAGGAAAAAATCTCTATTCAAATACTGTTTAAAATTTCCTCTTTATAATGACATCAAAATTACATTAAAATTACATACAATTAGGATTCAGACCAAGTATTTTTGTACTATTGTAACCAACAAGTCAAATTAAATCATATATCTGGATCCACTTATTATATCAGAATGAAGCAGGTATCAAAATGTAGCTTTTAAAGGCAGGAATCTGAACATGTGATGAGATCATTTTGACCGAATTTGACTTCATCCTCATTTCGAAATGATGGGTCACATATAGTCATTTTATTAATTTTTATTTTGTGTAAACATTGTAAGTATTCAACCACAATCAAACCTATGTAGGAATAAACAAAACAACAAGGATGTGATTTCGACTCACTAACATTAATTATTAAGAAACTGTTGTAGCAATTTAAATAATTTGCTAATTTAGAAACTACAGGAAGAGGACACCCATTTTTTGGGAAATAAAATACTTTTCTGTAGTTTTAAAAATCTTACTACATTGTAGGACTACAAACATTGTTTTACTGTAACTTAATGGGTTTGAAATGTGTCTTTCGGTCAAGTTCTTGATAAGGTTTATGGACATAATTTCATTTACATTAGTTTACTTTAGACCTTAGTGATAATCAATTTGTTAATGATTTATAAAGAAGGTAAATGTCTCACTGACAAGGCGTTTAAAACCACACAGAGTCTGTCTAGCAGTTAAAGAATATGCGTGAACTGGTCTTGGGCAAAAAAGTAACTTTAGCAATGATTACATCTTCTGTCTCATCTCTGCTTTTCTGCGTAATTAGTAATCTGGTAGAACATTTGCCTTGTTTCCCTGGAACTGCTTCTCTTCAGGATGAACTGGACTTGTGTTCTGTGAGGACGGTATCAATGACGGCACAACCCACCTCCCCCCAATTCAGAGGAATTTGCAAACTGATTGACTTTTCTTATCAAAAATTCATCAGTGTCACAGAGCAGTGTCAAAGATGCTGAAACTGACTTTCATGTGATCTTTTCTTACAACGCAGCAAAGGAGATAAAGCAGCTCAATAAGCTCTCTGCCTCTGGTTTATGCCACACTTGTTACTTAAAGTGTAACACTTTCCATATAGTGTTTTTATTTTTCTAAATTTTAATTTAAACAACGAAACAGCTTGTTTTTCTGTAGGTAAACCTTTTTCCAGAGAATCTCTACAATGCAAAGGATGCATGTGCATCATTGGCTCAAAATGCCCAATGTGTGACATGAGTTACAGCTAACAGGCCATGTGCTCTTTTAGCTGCCAATTCATCCCACCATTCATCCACTCAGTTTTTGTGTCTTACTGTCCTCTCTCAGCTGTGTTTAAATGTTTTAGACCACAAGAAATGAGCAATGTCAGGGTTTAGAACTGACATCCTGTATTTCACCATGTCATTATGTAGTCGTGGTTTCCCCGTGTCGTCTAATATCTGTTATTTGGTAATTTGTTTGTATAGTATGTACATTTTAATTAAATAAAAGGAGTTTCAGCTTAATCAAATAGATGTTTGCTAATACAGTGGATAATCACAGGCTTCATAATCCAATTGTAATCTCAGAGTGGCATTAATGAAACTAATAAAACAGATCTATGCTTGGTGTTTACATTACGTAATCTTTTCAGGTTTATAACCTTTGTTGTTGGAAATGTTACACTGTAATGTCGCGACTTGTCTAAGCTCGACAAATAGCTTTATATGATGGTTTTTTTCCCACTCATTTCTAATCACAGCAGTCAGAACATTAGAGGGAAATGCAGGGTTTAGTGTCTTGTTTAAGGTTGCTTTGATTAATCCAGGGATGAGCAATCCTTTCAGGATCTGTCAGATTTCAGAGTATGTGTTCAGGTTAACTCTCAGCACAGGCCTGTCACGATAACAAATTTTACTGGACGATAAATTGTCTCAGAAATTATTGCGATAAACAATAATGTTTGGAGACCAGTTTAAACTCTGTTTACGGAAGTTTACGTTAAAATTTACGTAGTGAACCATCGGCAATCCCAAGGCGTCTCCATCTGTATGAAGGCGCCAGGAAACTGAAGACGCTCCTCTGAATAAATGCCTGTTCACAGGCTCTCATGATACAGAGGTTAGAGACCATCACCTGGAAAATACCTGACACCTGAGTTCACCTCTCTCTATGCTAAGAAGTAGAAAA